GTATTAGTCAAAACATATTCTTTCTCATGATTGTAATAACAGCTTTCATTTCATTTTTTGAGGGGGGGGGGGGCATTTCCAAAACTCGTCTATACCTTTAAAGTTAGGGAGTCAATTTTCATCGAGTGAACGAAGCATTATCTTCTAAATGAAAAAGCATATTAACACGGGATGGAAATGCAGTTGTATGGTATGGCAGAGTTTTTAAACGCATTTAAAACACTAAAGATAAAGGATAAAGGCAATTCAATAGCAATATAATGTTCTACGTAACCATTATGATAGCTGAATATGTAAATCAAGGTGATATTTTCTTTATTATTTTCCTCTTCACAGGGGTTTAATTCAATAAGTTCACAGTTCAACAACATGAACAACATTAAAAGGATTTATAATATATATATATAAACACATCCAACAGCAACAGTAACGTTAAGAGGATTTAAATTCGTAATTCATAAACATTCAATTTACATTGAAAAAAGGGGAAATATTATTTTCAGTAAAAAATCACTGTGTAAAATGTTATAGAGTATTTAAGACAATGTGATTTTCGTTTTTAAAAACTGGACATGTCGAAAAACTATTGTACGTTTTCCATTGAAAGTAATTTAACATGTATATTTTACATACTGCGTATTGTGCGTATGTACTTACTATATTTATATATATTGTATTTGGACAATTAAGTATATACCAAGAATAAAATGCTATTTACCCTCTAACACCCCTTTCCCCCGTAGATCCGCCCCTGAGTTCGAACCAAGTACAGTTCAAAGTTGATTCCGAGATACAAAAAGTCAATTTTCTACAGTATCGTATACACAGGGAGGGGGGGGGGGGGTTGGGGGTTTAACCCCCCCCCCTTTGGGATTTTTTATATGTATAACCCCCCCCCCCCCATAACCCCCCTAACCCCCCCCCCTTTTTTTTTGGATATTTTTTGTTGTTTTTTTTGTTTTGTTTTTTTATTTAAAAAAAATAAATAAAAAGATTCCCTTGGCTGACCTAAAAAAGATGACCTTACCCCCCCCCCAACGGTGCAACATGTCAAATGTTCAAATTTCGAGACAAAAAAAAAAATGACCTCTTACCCCTTCCCCCCCCCCCCCCCCTCCCCCCCCCCCCCCCCCCTATATTAGAAAGACTTCTGGATTTGTCAAGAAAATCAAGTCAATTAATCGCGTCATTAGAGATAAAGTTGAGTTCTGGTCATGCGATTGCATTGTGAAAGAAGCGGTGTGGAATCGATCAGAAAAGGTTGACCGTCTAGCATTTTGGTTTGTACTGCAAGGTTCTGGAATCATCAAAATGATAAGAAATTTGGCCCAGTCTTGGTAAAGTTATAAGCACTGCACACAGAAAGATGTATATGGGACTACACGAACATGTGGCATAAAAATCCGTCCCGATTTGTATGCTGTTACATGCCATATTTAGAATATTATGGCATTTGAAGAGCCATGCTTTTCAGGGAACATGATTTATCTGATGCTCTTCCACACTTGCGTAATAACAATGATAACACTGACAAGTTATTTCCACCTCTTCCCAAAACTAGTGAAAAGGATGTATAATGTATAGCTAACAACGACCTCATTCACGGTCTAATTATTTTTTCGCAAGTTTGACGGTCCGTGCCGGGGGATAAAGGAATAAAATTACAATGTAGTTTTCGATGTCGGAACCCGATGATGACGAGCCTTAACTAATCGATGCTTGCCATCATGGATTCTGCACATGAGCAATGCATTGAATTTGCAACTTGCAAGTTTTGGGAAATTGAGAAAATTAGGTGGATAGCGATTCTTTACAATTTTGATACATTTGGATGGCCCTGTGGATGTATCATAAGCACTAGAAAATTTAGCCCCTAAAACACTTCTGCTTTCGAGAAAAATGTAATATGAAATATATACATTTTGATAAATTTCAAATAGCGCCTACGGCCGTACAATGGGAACTGCCACCATGAAAATCTCAGAATATGTAGTTGTGATATATAATTTCCAAACGGGAATTTTAGTCAAGAAATATTGTTTTATAGCTCAATTAATATCTTTACCTTGAGAGGGAGCGATACAACATAAAGAGTTTATTATTTTCAATTTCATAACTTTAGACTCGATTTCAACCGCGACAACGATCACTGAATATTGTAGGATCGCATAATGCTTCCAATATGTTCATTTGGACCAAAATCATGACCCCATACCAAAATAGTGTATTACCTTTAACACAATTTAACATCTTTAACATTGCAGACTTGTCAGTAAAATCGATGGTAAAATTTCGCATAATATAATTTTTTTAGAGAATGCAAAATTTCAGCGTCATATTTAAGAACCTGGTCTTAGTCCGCTCTACATATCGCCGCCATTCCTGCAGCTGCCCTACCCTTGCAAATTACAATAACCATGGACCATGCGATAACACCCCACTAGTGCAATACGTACGATGTGTGGTCAAGTGGTCAATGGGAAAAAAGTATATAACTGAGCCACTATGGACCCACCCTACGGAACAAAATGTAATATTAAATGTTTGTAACGCCCCGCCATCGATTCATTCAAATCACTTCTGAAGACATTTAGGTTCGTCCAATAGTCTGTTAATAGGCCATTTTCGTAATGTAACCAATAGACAAAGACTTATTCATTGAATTTGGTTACATTACGAAAATGACCTATTATATGACTAGTTTATGTCAAATAATGTTATTTCGTTACTACAATAAGATCGTAATTAACTAATTATACAACTATTATAATTGTGTTCAATCATAAGTTTATACCATTATATCTGTTTTTTCTTCATCATTGTATATGATATGTACTTTTGTTAAATTATGCATATTTAAATCTTCAGATTAATCGTGTAAAATATTGTACAATACATTGTTGTAAAGCGCATAGAGAATTTATTATAATGTGCTATATAAAAATGACTTCATTAGTATTATTAGTACGATTATGTATATCTCAGTCATCTTGATCGCTCTGAATGCATGCATCTTCCTGTAAATACTAATGCCCACTGTGTTAATTGGAATCGCTTCCTAATAATTAATTTTTTACGTTCTGCACGCTCCGAGGGTCAAGCTCGCTATCCATATGGACCGCCATTCACAAGGAACATTATTCATAAAGTCCGCTATCCATAACGCGAAACAAAATGAATAGCGGTCCTTAAAAACAGCGAGCATAGCCCGCCTCAAAGTGGTACTATCATTATTTCAAACTGAAATGATAAAAAACAATCGATGTTATCTCCCACGAACTCTATGTTTTCTATGACTTTTGTTCCTGTCTCTCTCTCTCTCTTTCTCTCTCAATCTCATGTATACATCTACGGCGAAAGATCCCTGAGCCACTATGGACCCATCCTACGGAACAAAATGTAATATTAAATGTTTTTAACGCCCCGCCATCGATTCATTCAAATCACTTCTGAAGACATTTAGGTTCGTCCAATAGTCTGTTAATAGGCCATTTTCGTAATGTAACCAAATTTAATGCATAAGTCTTTGTGAAGTGCCTCAATACAAATTATTTCATTCACCTGATAGGAATAATAGTATTTCAATAGTCAGAATGCAACTGCATAATATTAAGTGTTGTTAGGTAGGTCAAGCCTTCATGTTGTCCAACCTGGCAATAATTAATGTATGCATTTCGGATTTTGTCTATTGAAATACTATTATTCTTATCAGGTGAATGAAATAATCTGTATTTAGGCACTTCACAAAGACTTATTCATTGAATTTGGTTACATTACGAAAATGGCCTATTATATGACTAGTTTATGTCAAATAATGCTATTTCGTTACTACAATAAGATCGTAATTATACACCTATTATAATTGTGTTCAATCATAAGTTTATACCATTATATCTGAATTTTTTCTTCATCATTGTATATGATATGTACTTTTGTTAAATTATGCATATTTAAATCTTCAGATTAATCATGTAATATACTGTACAATAAACTGTTGTAAAGCGCATAGAGAATTTATTATAATGTGCTATATAAAAATGACTTCATTAGCATTATTATTATGATTATGTATATCTCAGTCATCTTGATCGCACTCTCTCTCTCTCTCTCTTACCTTATTTTTATTTGACTTGTATTTAATTGTTACTGTGATACTGTGCTATTACTGCTAGCTCCAGCATCATTCCACATTCCATAAACTTTGATAATGATATATTTTGTTAATGCTATTTGCTGTGTATTGGATTAATTTAATTCCAAGAAACATAATGCTAATCGACGAATATAAAGAATATCAAAAATAATTTCCGTTTCAAGGGTTCTCCTCATTGCTTGTGGTTAAAAAGAGTGTTCCTAATTCGAGTTATTGAATGAAATGAATGGAAAAAATAAATTTACACTGTTGCTCTTAAAATTTGAACATTTTTTCTTAGTTCTTTTCATGAAATGATTTTGACAATACAGTCTATTCTTGATTCTTTATTTATCAATCTCTACGAGTATAAAGATTATTCATATTCTCATAATGTTCTGAGAAGATATAATCTGAGATGCATGGCCCTACGTGATATCACTGTCTGCGATATGGTGTAATAATGAAGCCCCAAAGAATTGCGCTTCAAAATGATCATGAAGTGCCTCAAAAATGGTTTTATCATGCATACTCATTTTCCCCAAAAGATAGTGTTATAAAAAAACGTTGGGAAAACGTAAAATTTGATTTAATTCGATTTCCAATCATAAATATCTTGATGATCAGACAGTAAAAGTGTAAAAGTCATGGGATTTCTAATATGACTGACGTAAAGGTTTATAATTATGATTGCAGCATGAGCTAAGTCCAGGATTTAGTTTCAGAATCTGAGGCAATGTTACCGAGTCACTTTAAGAAGAAATCATATTTTAACGGCCACTTCGTGAAAAGAGGCAAACAAAATGTAGCTTTTGGGCCAACAGTGTACCATCTACCTATAGGTCATCATTGAATCTGAGCGACTTACCCAATCCCCATCTTTGAATGTTGTCAAAAGGAATGTCTCCGATCTTCTCCTTTCAGATATATAAATGCAGTAGAACAAAACGAGAAAGATGGTGACACATAGAGAAATATAAAATCCCATCCTGAAGTTTGTGCAGGTACAGTTTTTCTGCGCCTTATTTTCAACCATACTATACATATAGGACTATGCATAAACTACGGAAATAAGTTAGGAAGTCCTGTGTGGTCAGTCCGCAGCTAGAGAAGGGTCGGAGGACGCATTAATTCAAGCTCACGATACAAGGAGAAATGTGTTACGCAACTGAAAAAACACCGACTCTAAGCTCGAAGGTTATGCGCAGTCAAGCGTGTGTTTGTGTGTGTGTGCGTGCGTGTGTGCGTGTGTGTGTGTGGTGGTGTGTGCGCGCGTGTGTGCGTGTGTTTAGGAGCGTATGTGCGTGCGTGTGTGTGTGTTTGTGCAATTCGTTTTACATACGATTATTATATGTCTGGGGACTTGTTGCTGTTGTTTTTGTTTTATTGGCGTGTATCATTCATTTATGAATCTTTACGCCGAATTTTGGCATGTTTACCCTCGGTGTAATGCCGAGAAGTACATTATGTTTTAGCGTCAGTCGTTACAATTTAAAAGGAGCCCCAGGTCAACTAGCTGAATGTTCATACATTTAATATGAATATATATAAATACATATAACATGCAGGCCTAATCAATTGCACACTCGATTTCTATCCATTTCTGTAATCATTAAAGATAAACTTTAGTACTGGTAATGCGATTGCATTGTGAAAGAAAAGGTGTGGAAAGGATCAGAAACAGTTGATCATGTAGCATGTAAGTATTGGTGTGCACTGCAAGGTTCTGGAGTCATCAGAATCATAATAAATTTGACAGAGTCTTGGTAAAGTAACAAGCACTGTACACAGAAAGCTATATATGGGACAACACACATGGTGTCGGGGCTGGTACTACCTTCATTTCCTAGTCTTTTCTATGCTCATTACTCAGCCAGTATACATTTTCTTCCAAAATTGTTTGGCACATGTCATTTATTTGTAATCTTGAACATTCAGTGTAAGTTTCGTTTGATTCTGTGAGAATTAATTTCTTTTTTTTACCAGAACTCAAGTTTATCTTTAATAGTGAATTATTCAAAATCATTTCATCTTTTTTGTCTACCTCACAGGCATGCATACCCTTTGAAGCTAGACGTTCCATGTATAGATCAGTTCGTGTATGTTGATCAGGGGCGGCGATCCCGGGGGCGGGGGCTCTTCCCCGGCCTCAATTTTTGTTAGGGGGGATCGTCCACCCCCGGAAAATTTGAAAAAGTTAAAACAAAAAGAATGTATAGCAAATACTGACTGTATACTAGTGGCGGATGGGGGGGGGGGGTGATCTCCTGTGAGAAAAAAAGAGTAAAAACAGGTAAATTTTACCCTTTTTTGGAGATGGGCCCCCTCCCATGGCGCTCAAAGAAGGGGGGGTGCGATTTTTTAAAATTTTCGGGAGCCAAAAAAAAAACAATTAGTGCTCACTATTGCTTACACCATTTTTTTCTTCAAAATGGCCGCTTCAATATACCCATTTTTCAAGATGGCCGCAGGTATTTTTTTATTTTTTTTAAATCAGAAGTATATCATTTTAGCAGTAGGCCCATGAGGCGGCCCCCGAAAAGGAAGTGGGCGGGGACGCTTAAACATGTATATTTGTTAATGGCATAATGATAATGATAATAATAAAATTGATGATAATGATGGAAATAGTGATAACTAGAAATGCGCTTCAAAATGATCAAGAAGTGCATACAAAAGTTAAATGTTAAATCTGAGATGCACAGCCCTACGTGTTACCAGTGTTTGTGATATGGTGGTATATTGAAGACCTAACAAAAATTGTGCTTAAAAAATGATCAAGAATTGCCTCAAAAAAGTAAATATCTTTGAGTGACCGGTTTTACCATACTCGTTTTCCCCAATAGACTGTAGTGTTTTGAAAACTGTTAGGAAAACGCAAAATTTGTTTTCGATTAAATATCTTGATAATCAGACAGGGGATCGGCTTGTAAAAGTCATTGGGTTCCTGACTGACCTAAAGGTTTATAATTATGATTGCAGCATGAGCTAAATCCAGGATTTTGATTCAGAATCTGAGACAAAGTTACCGAATCCCTTTCACGACAATCATCCCACATTTCGTGGTTTGGCTTAAAGGAAACCGAACCCCAAGTAATAACTTTACTTATTCTGAGAGATTTATTATGTTATTACCCATACATCTACAAGATTCCCCACCAAAGTGTATGAGAGAGGTATAAAGCAAAAATAAAGTACAGTTTCTCAGCACGACATGGGCATCGCCATTTTCTTGATAATGTGACGTACTATGCGAAGTCGTTTATCAAGTAAATGTATTCAAATTTATGGATGCTTCTTTCCCAGACGTGTGTGGTGATAAAGCACTTCATTCACCTGCTATTATCCTTTGTACTATAATTGCCAGAACGCAAATTGCATAAATTAGTTAGTGCTCTTCTGGGTTGAAGGTTTCTCATAAATGAAATAAATTTGTCAACTGCTATAGTGTAGTATATATAAATGAATTTGTTACAATTGTGCCCTTGTTATTTATTTTTCACCTAATATAATTTCTATCATCTCAGTTGTTATTTTTTTCATTGAAAAGTAAAGGTTTCGTTATTGATTTAAAAATTCTTTCCAACTAAAGCTTGGTGCATGGTACATGTACAACTTCAACAGATACATCACATTTTTAAGAAAATGGCTGCGCCCATGTCATGCTGACAGGCATCACATCATGCCAGGAATATCTTCATTTATATATATCTTGTACATTTTCGTAAGGAATATTGTACATCAAAGGGGAGGAATATCTCATTTTTCAGAATACCTACACCTATTCTTTGGGTTTAGGTTTCCTTTAATAACTTTTGATTCAGAGCCCCAAAATATTCCAGATGCATGAGTAGGAAGGGCAAAAGCTATTGCACACACCGCACACAATGCTAGGAATTTCGAAGAAAAAAAAGAGCTTTATAATCCTTAAGTTGGCAGCGCATTGAGGGGGTTCAAAATCGTTGGGTTTTTATTTTTTTATTTTTTCTTAATATTAGAGTGCTTTAAACACCTTGAGCTGTGGATGTGAACGCTATAAAAACATCTAATATCATTATTATCATAAATTTTGATGATGCTCAGGATGATAATTATGATGATGATAATGGTTATTATTGATTTTCTCAACATTATAGTTATTATCATTATAATAATAATAATAATAATAATACTCAGTTTTTATATAGCGCTTATTAGAATCACTAAGCGCTTCCAAACTTGGAGATTATTACCCTGGCTTTAGCTGTGCTGCCATTGCGGCGCTCTAGCATTTCAAAGAATTAATTCCTGCCAGGTACCCATTTACATCACCTGGGTTGAGTGTGGCAAATGTAGATCAATGTCTTGCCAAAGGATATTAGTGCCGTGGCGGGTCTCGAACCGCGGACCTTGTGATCGACAGTCCTGCGACTTAACCACTCGACCACGGCACATCTACATTATCATTATTATTATTACCATTATTTGTATTATTAGAAGTAGTATTATCATTGTCAATGTTGTTGCCGTTATTATTATTAACACGAATTTGCACTATACAATTTTGGCCCACCAAATTAAACCCTCTTTGTTTCTTACTGATTTCAATAGATAATCCATATCGGTTGATAGCACACACCGATAAGAAGACATCGGTACATTCACGTATCATCTGGGCATGCTCTTGGTCTCATGATAGTCAATTTTTTGCTACATCCTCCAGAGATAAGAAGGTAAGCTTCATCATTTTTATTTTAAATTATTTTACTTTTACGTAGCGGCTAATCATTCCTATGTGCAGGAATGGTTGCTATATTTTGGCCCTCAAAACTAATGTTATGATACCCAGATTCCTAACTTCTTCTGAAAAAAAATTGTGTAAAAATATCATAATATCCTAATGTTTCCTTTCAAGATTCTAATACTTGCTGTAGAAGGTTGGCAGGTATGCTTCTACTCACTGCATGAATGACTCCTACTCCAAAGTACTATATTGTATTGATAAACCATTTTGCTCCATCTAGATTTTGACACTGCCAAAATTCTGGATTATTTGGTCTTCCAAACCTGATGTTATATTTCACCAAGGCTGCAAATGAGGCTGACATATAATTGCTGAACTCCTTGACCTTCTCTTTAAAGGTATAGACCAAACCTGGGCCCTGGGCCCCGTTGCATAAAACTTACCATTGATGATAACTTTGCCATCAATGGCAACTACCATGGTAACAGGGCTCAACAGCCAATCAAAATCAAGGTTTCCATGGTAGATACCATTGATGGCAAAGTTACCATCAATGGTAAGTTTTATGCAACGGGGCCCAGTTCTGGTCATGCGATTGCATTGTGTAAGAAACGTTGTGGAATCGATCAGAAAAGGTTGATGATCTAGTATATATGCATTGGTGTGTACTGCAAGGTTCTGGAATCATCAAAATGATAAGAAATTTGGCAGAGTCTTGGTAAAGTTACAAACACAGAAAGATGTATATGGGACTATGAGATATCTATCCAGTCCAGACAGATATGGTAATTTACCAAATATATCAATTAGTAGGCGGTTTCCCGGCAAAATTTGTATCATCACATATGAGTCAAAAGATATTCTTTCACAGATTGGTAATAAGAGCTTCCATTTCATTTTTGAGAGGGGAGCGTTTGCAAACCTGGTCTATACCTTTAAATATTTCTATTATTTTTCTTCAGGTGATTGTGTGGGGTAAGAAGAAAAGCGTGGATGAGGACCAAGGTGACGCCGGTCCTCTTGGACAGTACGGAGCTATGTCCAAGCCGCTGGACGTTGGTGATTCTGCTACAGCTATAGACTTTGCCAGACAACTCACAACAAATGGAAGGTAAATAAAAAAATTAGTTATGGAGCCATTGTATTGAAATTACTAAAATGTTATAATGATAATATTTATGATAATAATATTGGATATTTTTATAGGGCTCATATCCACCACGCAAGGTGTTTAAGGCACTCCGGCTCTGGTGGGCTACTGATTTCGGTGAAATTCAAGAAATTCCTTCCT